CTCTCATATCATCTTGCGGGCTATCTAATGCACATGAATTGTGGGACAAATACATGGCGGAAGATATTTTGCGAAGGTTACAGCAGACACACGTGAACATGACATACAATGAACACATTTATAATGAAGCACTTGGAAAAATTGAAGATAAAGTAATGGCAATGGTAGGCAAAAAATTAAGCGACTTTGGAATGATAAAGCCTCAGCGAACAACCGAAAATGAACTAAGTGATGAAATTATACGTGAAACAAACTACGATATACAAGCTTTGCAGCAGCAAGTAGCCGAATTTGTACCCCGCTTGCTTCCTGAACAAAAACGAGTTTTTGACAAAGTATTAGGACAAATTGAATCTGAAAATGGTGCACTTTTCTTTTTCGATGCAGATAGGAGCTGGGAAGACATTTTTGTTAAATTTATTATTAGCGCAAATACGGAAAGATAAAAACATTGCTGTGGCCGTAGCTTCCTCCTGCATTGCCGCCACGCTGCTAAGCGGGGGCCGCACTGCACATTCTGTTTTAAAACTCCCTCTAAATCTTGCGCGTAGCGCGTAGTAGCGTCTTAAAATAGTGTTCAGTTAGTTTTTTTCCAAAAATTTCCACAATCAATTAATCAGAATTCCCACAGATCTTCCCTTTCAATTCAAAATTTCCTATTTAGCTCAGTTTCTTTTCAATTTCAAATGCTGCACCTCTGACGGACCTACTAAGCTCAGTTTCCTTTCAACTCAAAAAGCTGCATCTCTGACGGATCTTTTATTTGGCTCAGTTTCCTTTCAATTCAGAAAACTGCATCTCTGACGAATCAATTTAGCTCAGTTTCCTTTCAAAAGTCTGCATCCCTGACGGATAATTATGCTCAGTTTCCTTTAATAAAAAAATATCCCATTTCCATTTGGAATAAACAGGCTATTTTCATGCTTTCCTATACGCTGCGTTTCAAAATATTTAAATAGGCTGACGAATCAATTTTGCTCAGTTTTCTTTTAATGGCTGCATCTCTGAAAAATCTATAAAACTCAGTTTTCTTTCAATTCAAAAAGCAATAGATATTTCATTTCCCAGTGACCATGTGGGCGAAGCCGCGGGTAACATCTAGTACTTAATAATAATATTAATGTAATTACAAAAGTTAGTTATTTTAGTTTAATTACCCATTTATGTAAATGCCGTTTTGTGGCGACGTAAGAGAATCCACTACTCCATCCACTTCCATGGCTGTCGTAAGAGGCGACTGAAGAAATAAAATAGGAGAGGTGCAGCAGCATCTACCTGTTAACATATCAAAAGGCTGTTAATCCGCCTGCCAAACGAGGAAACTTTGGCAATTATCCGCAATATTAGGCAATCTTTGGGGTGGGCTATATTCAGCATTGACTTTTTGATAAACTGTTATGAGTGAATGGAAAAATGAAATTAATTAAACATAAAAATAAAATAATAAAACATTTTTTTAAGTTTGATTAAGTTTTTCTAAAAAGCATATTCAAAATATATAATAATCTAATATAACAGTTTGCGCCTTTTAAATCACTCAAACTCAAAGCATTGAGCATACATAATACTACTGTATAGGGTAGTATTGACTTTGGTAATGCTGTAAGAAGCTCCTTACCACAGCATACACATGAAACGACATCAAGCAATGTACATAAACACACAGAATTATAAAATTGTTGTTTTAAACGTATAAGAGTTGTTGTATCGTCTTTAATTGCTAGACACCAATCTGAATTTATTTGTATTGTCTCTTCCTTCTTCTTTAAGTAACATTCGTATGCGTATTTAATATAACAATGCCTTTAGGTTATTGTTAGGGCTTCCACCTCATTGTAGTGCATCAGGCATGTTCGCTGATACGCATACTGATGACTACTTCGCGATCATGCGTAAAAAAGTGGAGTCATTAATGCGCAGAGTGAGAGGGAGCTCGAATAGTATCCTGAGGGTCTTTGCGGAGAGGCTCGATGGCCCGACACTAGGTAGGTTTGTCAAGCTACATGTACTAAAGTGAGCTTGATAAATCTATCAAATTTGTATGCATTGTTTGAATTTTTTGTACTAACATTAGTTCTTAAGGTGGATGTTTCGACCGTCCGTCCATACATTTTTTAACCAAAATCTTCACTAAACACAGACACTCTTTCTTTAAAACTAATCATTTTATCACTTCTCTACAATGAAATGTGTACGCATCTGACCTTTATAGGCAATAACTTACATTATATACTGAGAAAAACAATAGTGAAATCCCGGAAAAATTTGACACTTCTTTAGTAGTGTGCGTGACTTTTGACGACGTTTAACATTGGCACGCTAGATGGCATCCAAGTGATCTTAAATAATTCTGATAAATCAATATCTTAAGTTCAATAATTGGTTAATTTCCTTTCCAACCATTAATAAACCGTATAAAATAACATAAAACTAATGACCTTAGACACCTACGTTTTTTTGTAAACAATTTTATTACTTATTATCGTTGTGTGGCATACCAAAAGTCGTAGGTAAAGCGACGTTGCCGTCCTTTCTGACAACAAACTGCCGTAGACAGAGAAGTCTACGGTACTAACGTATTCCTGACCTTGAATTGACGAAACAAAAGCGTTGCCAAACTTACGTACGTTCACTTGTTTGACTTGTATAAAATATATATTCTGATTTCGGTTGTCACGCGCTATGATTTGCGCGCGGAATTTCTTGTGTATTATACATATTTTGTATGTATGTTTTCATTGATTCGAATTGCAATATTTCTCTAGTATATATTTGGGACTATATTGTAATTTATCGTAGGTATAGTAATTAATTATTTTAAAAACGCAATTATGTTTTCGATAGTATTATCAGCAGGCTGTCCCGTGATTTTTCTGAAATATCGTCACAATACTGATTACCTACGTCATACGTGTCAGTGTTTCATGTATGAATGTGTTTGAATATGTTTTTGGTCAACAATAAATACAATTATTATAAATCGGTATACGACCAAAGCAGTCACAAAATTAAACTTGCAAACATTTGATAAATTAGGTTTTGCCGGGTTACATTAAACATCCTTTACGCATTTTGCAAACACTTTCAGACAGACACACATTATTAGTTTGTTATATTTTGTAGAGCTCAAGTTCACTCGTCACTACGTCACACCTTATGATGCGTTCAGAAACAAATATAATTCAGTTACATAAAATCCTTTTCTCTGTTCCGTGCTTTATTGTTTATAAATAAATAGCTTATTCTAATCTGTGTTATATTTTTCTTATTCGTCGGCCAATTCTACAAGGAATATAAAGATAACATTGAAATAAAAGATAAGTAAATTTTTGTACATTTTAGTGTTCTGGATCTTGTGTTCCGAACGCAACCACGATCACATTCATATAGAATTGAAGGAAGATTTGTCTACGATCTGGACTATCTTCTAATCGACACTCTGCACCACTTGCGGATGCGATATATTTTATTCAAATACTTTTTTTTCTATACTGTTCTCTACTGTTTGTTTTTCTATATTTCAGATTTAGATTGCGTCTACAATGTCTGCTCAAACAAGCAAGGCGTCATACAAACGAACGCATATTCGGGGAAGCGAAAATCGTTGAAACGAGTACGATCTGCACTAAAACGATTTCATGATACAGAGAGGTAAGTAAACATACATAATACAAGTAACTCTGTATCCGGCTTCTTAGTAAACACGACCAAGTTTGGATCACAGAACACTATTACTCCTAGCGGAGAGTTTGGATGTAGGGATTTCGCGCTATTTCACGATTACACTTCTTATCGTACCTACCTACCTACTTGCCTACATTTTCTATAGACAAAAGTTTCACTCTTATATTTTATTACAGCCGTTTGAAAGCTTGGCGTTCTGAAGAAACGAAGAAGAAGCCATTGAATGAAGAAATCGTCATAGATAACTCTGTAATGTACGTATCAAATAAGCATGATTTATTATTGTTCGTAAAGGGAACACTACATGTACGTACGCACCTAAGAAATTGTTGCTTTGGTCGAAAACCATAAGATGACGTAAAAAAAACCATCGAAATATTCAAAAAGGGGAAAATAGGTCTAGGATATAGGTTATATACTTTTATTATATGGTCACCACAATTTGATTTGTTTCTTTCAGTACTCAGAATACACAACCAAGAACATATGCGCGTGTAAAACCGAAAACACGCTTAGAGGCCACCTACAGTGCTCCTAGTACTAGCACAGTGACAGCTGAACCTGTGGTTGAACCTTTAGAGATTAATTGGCCGCAAGCTGATCCTGAAATTGATTCATTTCAATTGATTGTGGAAGCTGTTCCAAATAAATGTTTATCTGAGATATCTGAGTATCGCATTGTGGACTTGAAGCATGTAATACAGTGGGCAATGCTTATGGAAAGACATCGAAATATGTGTGAATCTTCACAAATTGATTTTGTTGGTGAAAGATTTGATGGATTTCGAAGTGAATTAATTTTCAAGTGCAATATGTGTGATAAAGAGATATATATATAGATAGATAGAAACTAAAAAATGTCTATTTCTTGGTGTTAGAAATAAATATTGTTATACATGTCAATATTATGAGAAAAGAAACATGGATATGAAAGCACATAATTGCTGCAAAAATTTTACTGATATTGTTGTAGAAGGCTTTCAAAAGAGTGAAGAAATACATCAACTTCGCTAGTTGAGTTTTATTGGTGACGGAGACTCCTCTGTGTTTGCAAAATTGAAAGAGAAAGTGTCATATGGGAATATAATAAAAAAAATTGAATGCAAGAATCATGTAATCAAAAACTATACTAGTGCACTCTACAAGGTAAATGAATAAATTAAATTTCTAAAGACAACTCAAGATCAGTGAAGCATATTATTCTGTATTTATATTTTGTACTTTGTAGATCTTGGCCAACACTAAGCTCTCTTTCTGGGCGAAATATTTTGAAGCCGAAGGTGATGAAACTTACACTAGTAGCACGGAAAATTATCATGCATAGCAGTGCGCATACTGCTATGGCAGCAGATTTGAGAAATGGCCCGCTTCATGTATTCGGAGTACATGAAAACTGCAAGGATTATTACTCCAATATCAATAAAACATTGACAGATGAAAGTGAAAGGAAGGAAGAAAATCTCGTAGAAAGTCTGAAAAATAATGCTCCAGAGGTGTGGGCTCTGATTTATGCAGCCAATGAAAAAATTGCTTTGAAGGCAGGTCGTTTGTCTAATGAGACAACAAATGTGGCAGAAAACTTCATGAGTGTAGTAAACAAATTCAACTGTGGAAAACGAATTAGTTTTGGAAAAGGGGGTTCTTACCAGCGACGTATTCATGTGGCCGGTAAATATAGAGTAATAGTCAGTCAGAAATTATTAGAGCCAGTAAGAAATTCTTTAAATTAAAATTGTGTGAGTTAATTTACTAGGGTGGGATTGTTTACAATTTGTTACAGTTAATTTCTACATTTTTGTTATGCATAAAAAGAACTACACTGTCGCATTAGGTTATTCCTGTCATGATAGTTGTTAGTTTCAATAAATAAATAAATAAAAATGTTTTCAGGTCTATCGCTTGCTAATGGACACAAATGGCATTAAACTGCATGGAAAAAGCAGACCACACAGAGCCCAGGGATACATTTTAAAAAATATATAAAGCAGAAGGAACAAAGCAGAATACGATTGCAATCTTCGACACGCAAACGATTATTTGCTCCAAGAGAGAAAACCCAACCGGATAAGCACTATGGACCTGAAGCTTGTGATCCTATTGATATTGACGAAGCACAGTTGAAAGTACGGTGTGAAGAAAGGCTAGCAGAATTCCAAAAGTCACCAGAAAACATTGCTTTGATTGAAACGTCCACTGTAGGACAGCATGAAAATGATTTATATACTACTCATAGGAGTGACCGTTTGACTGCTAGTCATTTTGGAATGGTGAGTTGTGTGGTGTGATAATGATGTTAGCAGATATGTATACTTATAAACATACCTTTCTGGTAAAAATGCGGTACTTTACTATAGAATATATTTATAGAAAATTAAAATTTTAAAAGTAAACCATAACATACATTTAGTTTATCTGAACTTTTTCTCTTTACAGGTTTGCAAACGCCGTATCACCACCCCATGTCACAATCATGTAAAGGATATTCTGTATAAAAAGAATGTTTGCACAAAAGACATGTTATATGGGCAGCAATATGAAAATGTAGCAAAAAGTATGTTCATGCAACAATATAATAAAATTGTGAGGCCTTCAGGCCTTTTTATTGATGAAGAATTTGGATTTTTAGCTGGCAGTCCAGATGGTAAGTCTTTCTTTATCAAACTTCAATTTTATTTTTGTGTTTGGCAAATGTTGCCAAACATAATACTAGTTATAATTACGAGAAACAAAAAAACCACAACCAATTCTTATATCCAATTTCATGAAGAGCTCCATCTCGGCGTTTTATTTGTTACAGGTGTAATTGAAAATGAGAGAGCTGTTGTTGAAATCAAGTGCTTTCCATCATTGGCCAGAACAAATCAAAGCCTAGAGGCAGCTGCACTAGAAAAGAAGAACTTTGCTCTAAAACTGGATAATAATGTTTTAGTCATGAATAAAAAGCATGATTATTACTATCAAGTAAATTGAAAATTCTATTGCATGTCCACATTTTACTTTATTTCAGTATCTTGTTTTCTCTTACCATTATCAAATTTTATTTCAGGTCCAAGGACAAATGCGTGTTAGCAAAATGGATAAGTGCTACTTCATATGTTTCATTTCAGTCACTAAGTCTTTGACTGTTATAGAAGTTTGTCGAGATAATGAATTTATCAGTAATATGATACCAAAATTATCAGACTTTTTTAAAAACTGTATTCTACCTGAAATAATATTGAGACGTGTTCCAAAAAATGCGAAATGTATAGATTTGAATGGTATGTACACTACGCTTTTACTTTTTTATTCACTTCATAAATTGCATCAATATATTCCCACTGCTGGGACACAGGCCTCTTCTACATGAGATAAATTATGTTATATTTAGATATCGAAATTGATAAAATAAAATTATATTGTTATTCCAGTGAAAAATCCTCCTGCAACATCAACATTAGTTGGAAGTTCATGCAAAGAATAGAAGAAAATTTTTATTTTAGAGCAGCTTTGGTGATTGAAGGAAATACAATTTTGAACTGAATGGTTTGCCATTAACATTAATATACTAAGTAAGTTTTCTTTGCAGCAGCAGTGTAGCAGTGGTTGCAAGACAGGAAGTTTCAAGGCAGACGGTGAAATCAACAAGTCAAATGATTTTTGTTCTAATTGTATTTTGGTAGTAGTTTGTTTAGAATTTTAACATTATCATTGTATATTTCTTTTTATTTTGTATTTACTATAAAATCAAAAGGTGAAATAATACTTCATTAGGCATACATACTACATAATTATAAAGAGCAGATTATTGAATTGAGCAGGTGGTTATAACCTGACCATGTGCTCAATTCAATAAACTGCTCTTTATATATATTTTTTTCTAAAAGCTTTTGTTGAGTGCTTCGAAATTAGGAAATATTATTTTCACCTTCTTGGTTATTATCACAAAATAAATCGTGTTATAGATTTGTTGTTATCTCTTGTTTGTGAATTATAGTTTCTTACGTGTTGGTTATGAAATGTCTAATTATTGTAATAATTGGTACTGTTACAAATCATCAGCGTTATTAGTTTTGAGTGAATTGGTATGTATCAGTATAATTATGTTGCTTCAAATAGGTACTTCTGTTTTGATAAAAAATGCAATAGTGTAATGTAATAAAATAAAACTGCGTTATATTGTAATCAATGTTGACATAATTTATTTCCCAACATTATAAATCAATTAAATAGTTTACGCCAACAAATATAAATTTTATTTTTATAACAATCGTATATAGCGTTTTGTAGTTCTGCCTACCCAATCTACACGTACACAAAAATTAAAAACTTGTTTTTTACATTCACGCCATCTAGTGTTCTAACTTCATAAACGTAGGGCATAACTTCATACGTCTGTGTGTGTAAACGACCCTATATTCAATGACAGATGTTATAATCAAAATTAATGTTGATTTGGGTAGATTTTGAGGCAATGATATGACCCATTCCAATAAAATGTAATATCCGATAACCGCTAAGTCTACTCCTACGACTTAATAATTTTCCAATTACACAAAGATCCAAATAAACTTAAAATGTTGCATTCAGCGCCATCTTGCGGGAGAATGGCTGAGAACAGTCCGAAGGTTCCACCTTAAGAAATAGATGTTAATTTGATTTAACAGTTATGGGCCTACGATGCCTGAAAAATAAAACATTTTTATTTTTATTTTTATTTTATTTTTATTTATTATTTTATTTATTAAAAAGTATATACGAGTATGTACAAGTATACAAATTTTTAAAGTTATGATTTTTATCAACATTTAATTAGTTGCGACAAGAACATTTTACAAGTTGTTTATTTAAATAAAATTCTTTGGGTACTTTATTCGCGTTTTATAAATTACTATTTGTTCCAGAAAATATCGAAAATGAATTTACGAAAGGATCAAGATTAAAATGAGAAAGAGTCCCTGAAAAAAGAGGTGAGTAACTAAACGATATAAGTCCTTATATAAACCTTACATTTCTGTATAAAGTATTCTATGCTTGTTTACTTTATACAGAAATGTAACGACTACCCTACGACTGTATTGTTAGATTAATTTACTTCCTTGTGTTTGCATTTATTAAAAATATTATTATAATTTATCGCGCTAAATAATTTATTTTCACTTATTTTTAATTACTGACGTTTCAGGCGCTTTGCAGCACCCATGGTCACGGGAAGACAGAGATGTTTAAGGTCCCAATGTCATAGTTAGCCCCCGGCTACTTTCAGTTTTTGAATATTAATGTTTGGTCCGATCTACGCAGAACAAGCTTACAGTATCTTGAAGTAAGTTATTAAACGCGAAAAAAACCGGAAATATAGTTTTATTCAAAGTAAATAAACTTTTTTTAATTTCTACATAATTTATTAGCTTCTGAAATCGGTGATAAGATTAAAAGTTAAAAAAGAAACAAAGCCTCGACTGCATTTCATATTAAAATTAAAAAAGGCCTATATAATCATGTGAAAATTATGTTGTTGTGTGTTTCCAAATGTTGTTTTTGATTTATTTTGAATTTTTATATATAACTATATTACGTGTAAGTGTACTGAGCACGCAACCTTAAGGTTTTCAAATTTCTTTACCCATTTTCTCCACCTTGGATGACGATTATTTTCTTCAAATTTTATTGGCGCGTCTTGACGTCGCGAGTATTCATTTTACTATTTGTTGTAAATGATAAATGAAAACAAAGGTCGAAAACAGAAAGAGTAGAGCAAGCTAATGTCGAGATTTTTTTAAATTATTATTTAAAGATCTCAAATCAAATTATCGTTAGAATAATTCTAAAAGAAACCCACAAAGAATATATTGATCCGTGAAATATTTAGAATTGATCTAATAAAAGGAATGATTTAAATTAATAAACTTTTCAAGGCCAATTACTTTTACTACATATCACCAGGGTTACCTAAAAAAATTCCATTATTCATTTACTGTACCACTTACGAGTACCATCTGGTTTGATAATAGTCAATCACTGCTTGTAAATGTAAAAAAAAGCCAGAGGCGAGGGAAAGAAAATGAAATTTCCGCCGTGCTGCCCCATATTTTTTAATTTTTCAGATATGCAGTTTACTACACCTGCGAGTATGTTGTAAATTGAACACAAAAATTGAAATAATAATTTTATTGGTGCCGGCAGGGTTCTCACCTGAGGACTGAGATGGAATGGTTATTTCCAGTAAAATTAAGGTGCTATTTCACGCTGGTTAGTTCGGATATAGTAAAGTTCTTCGATCGGGATTGGCACAAAGCATTTCTGTCGAAGCTTCCTTGCTTTTGGCTTCCCGAGAAATTGTGTAATTGAATCACCAGTTTACTTACTGATCGGAGCATCAAGGTCGTAGTAGACAGTACATGCTCCGATTACAAGCCTATTAACGCTGGTGTTCCACAAGGCTGCGTGATATCTCAACGCTGTTTCCCCTGCATATTGAAACCTTTCCCCCCTCCCCAATTCTTCTTCGCTTATTAAATATATTACATTGTTTATAAAAAGGTGATTTCCCCTTTTTAAATAAAATTATATATATGTGACCAGGATAAATAAAATATGTTTTGATCTTTCTGAATGATCTTTGTAAAGGTTTAATAACAGGCATTTTGTAATATTTTTGGCATGATCGTCATAGTTAGGACCCTTATTTACGTTGTGTTTGTTTAGTAACTTAGTTCTTTTAGGTGTCTTTTGGAAGAATGAATATTGAGAGAGCAATTGAAAGCTGTTGGTAGTGCTTTATAAACTAAGTGAACCCCGTTCACGAAGACAGGGCTTGAGAAAGATTAAGAACATGAAACGTCCCTATTCCACTTGTACCAGATTTACGTCATTAATTTATTAATAATTATCTCTTCCCGCTTGGAAAAAGCTCACAATAAATTTATACAAAATATCCGATACAACGGCTTCACTCTCCTACATTTATTTAAAAATATGTAGGTGAGGCACACCATTTCAATGCACTCCCCACGAAGGGTACGCTAAATCGGGAACTGGACCGTAGTCCACAGCAAAACTAGTAACTGGCGAACCAGTAAAAGAGGCCTGGCACCTTGTTAGTGCGTATGCACAAACATCGACCGAGGTCGCGCATGTCAATGCGTGTAAAGGCTATACAGAATACGAACGAATCCAGTCACAGTGAATGTATGTCACACGGTTTAGGCAAATAGGCACACTGACCGTAAACCCTCCGTGAGCGCCACCACCTGCCAAACCGCCGCTCCTGCAGACGTGATGTAAGTGTATAGCATCACCACTGATTGCATGATCAGCACGGCTACTAGCCGCAGAGCGTGTCATAAGTCTACCGCTCACCTCAAGGGAATGGGGTCCCACGTTGTGCGGCTTTCGGCCTCAGCCTTGAGAGTCTCCTCAGATCCTCCCTCCAGCTACCACCCGCATGAGGTCGACACATATGCTCCACAAACCAATACAACGGCAGATATAATGAAAAGGCAGTTATAAGATGTTAGTAATAATTTGCCATCAGAAAAGATTTGTGTCACCGACGTTGAGGAAATGCATTTTCGATCATGATTGTCTCACCCACCAACAAAGTTGCCTTCAATCATTCAAAGGTGGGAAAGTTACAGAGATATATTATTATGTTGTAATATAAAACAACATGGAGGTCAGACAGTCTGCAGCCCCGTAATGAAGGGACCCGATTTGGGCAAAGCTACTTAGGTGTGAGTCAAACCAAGACGCAGAGATCGCCATTGAGAATAGCGTCCCCCAAACAACCGTTGCAGAGACGCAATGCTGCAGAACGCCACAAGCATCAATACGACTATCGTCGGCTTACACCATCCCAAGGTCCCCCATACATCCCAGCAGACATCACCACCAGCATACCTCCATCGACCCGAACCACAAGAATGCGTCGAATTAGGCGATGCACACCCACAGATCCATCACAAGACGCAATACCGCAAGTAGCAGTAAGCATCAATGCAACTATCATACGGGTGGCGCCCCCTAACAACACACCCACATGATCCCTATCGACTTTGGTAACCAAATTTGTGTTGTTGTTAACTAAAAAATAACACCAACGTATCATAGTAGCACGCTACTAAGTCGTTAATGAACAAAACTCCACATATCATAGCGCTAATGCACTAAGACATGAAGTTGAGTATGCCTGTTACACTTAAAAGTGCTTTGGTAGCATCCCAATCCTGAAAGATAGACGACGCATCGCTTTGCGCTACGACGCCACTCACAACCGGTATGGATGTCCACGGGAAAGCCGTATTGCTACAACAAACCCGCTTACCACTGGCACTAAGATGATATGTCTAGGACACATCGGTTAGCGAGTCCAAGTTTACCTTGCACCAATTGCTAAATCCTTTCCAAGTCCCTAATATAGGACTAGTCATTTTGCTACAGTATCAAGAGCGGTCGGTCACCTGACCACCCCATATAATGTTTATG